GTATCTTTTATAGAGGAGGTTTTCGATTCGGATTATAATTTATGTTTGCTTTCAATTAAATTATAATGGTTTCAATTTGAATTAGTTTTGTGAATAGTTTTGGCGTTATTAACCTTTTAATCTTATTGTTAAGTAATTCGGCGTCTTTAAGTTTATATGCAATAATGTAGATTAAAATAATGTTTTAGCTGATTTTATTTGCTTTAAAGTTCGTTTGCCCAAAATATAGTAGCTAAACACGTATTTTACTCTATATTTTATTTTTTAGCCCTTATGCTATATAATTATCACTCTGTCAACTATCGTCTTTTGAATTTTGTACGCTATCTATCACTTAATACCATTCATCTTTATTTTTCACTCTTGTTAGAGCGTCATTCTCATATCGACGCTTGAAAGGCAAAAGTGACTAAGCGACAATAACTGCTTTGTACATAAATGATAGGCAATAACCATATTCGATGCGCAAAAAATATATATTTCTAGGTCTATTAAAATCATTTCAATCCTACAGCTACTAGCTAGATTCTACTACAGCTAGATTTGTTAAAATAAATTTTGTTTTCAGGTAATTCAACTTTAAATTAGTCTACCATAAAGTTTGTCGCATTGTCGCTTAGTCACGTTTGCCTTTCAAGCGTCGATATTATTTCTTTTCTGTGATATGCAATTTAAAAACAGTATAGTTTGTTTTAGGTTTTTTGTTCGTATGTAATGGAAAAGGATTTGCTTCTTTTCTACTATTTCATTATAACGAACATAATATGTGTTTTTGTTTATTTGTTCGTGCTTTACGTCGAAGTAATGTGTATTGGATTAATTTGCAACCAATGCAGGTATTTTTGGGATACCTGGGAAAGTTTTAATACATCATAAAATCGACATACGACAAACAGCGCTTATGTGACTTCAATAATGTGCGTCAGACAATGACAGCGGACGCGGCCCGGTGTCACTGGCATGTTATAAAGTAGCTAATACGTCCGATGTCTTGGGCCGGAGAGACTGCAAAGAAAACATCAAAGTATCGCAGCCAACGAAGTGGAAATTCGTAAATTGTATTAAAGTGGGGCGCTCGTCGTGCGTCGCTGTAGTTGTGCCGCGGTGACCAACATCAATAAAGTTCGGGAGCAAATGTTTACGCGTGGCTGAACTTGTTTTCGAAACTTCCCTTCTTTAAACAAAATTTTGCAGCCCCTATTTATAGGTGGGAGCCGGATTGTTGCGTGGCCGAATGTTGTAAGCAGCATTTATTTGTTACACAATAATAATAAACGTGCGGAAATATAACAAAAGTAAAAATTATACAAAGCAGTACTGCTTATCGAAATAAATCTTTTCCAATAACACTAAAGAGGTGATTTACTGGTGTTAGGACGTCTTGTGAGTCCGTGCGCGTAGGTACCACCACCCTGCCTGTTTCTGCCGTGAAGCAGTCTACTGTAAAAGCTGAGCCCTTAGATCTCAAAGTAGGTGGCGGCATTTACGCTGTACATATCTATGGGCTCCGGTAACCACTTATCACCAGATGGGTCGAGAGCTTGTCCAACCATCAACGCAATAAAAAATGTGTCCAAGCTGGAGTTTATGATGTGACGTAAAGAGTTTTGTGATAAAGTTTGGATTCGACAATGAAAATCGTTTTTTTTAACTAACAGGACGCTTTTATTTAATTCTGTCTGGTATTAATAGTAATGATTTTTTAATTAGAATTTGTCATTTACCATTTTATCTTCCAAGTCAGTCTTCAATGCTCTTAAACAAAGAGCAGTCAAACATTGAACGAGCACCGCTTGTGTCTCCCGCACTAGCCTAGCCTCCATCCATTATAAATGATCACCACAGAATATGAATAACGCAAAATCCAAACTATTAAGTTGGTCTAGATCGTGTTTATACCTTTTTTAAGGCTCTGGACGAGCGTAGAAACTATGTTGCTGTTCCCCTGGAAGCAGTTCGTGAAGACGTGCCATGTTTGAACCCTGGTGTAGTTGATTCAATCGCTTCGACTACACTGGGCACCTTACTCGTGCCGGTGAGGCATGGACATTTCAATACTGTACTGGATGATAATTGATAGCCGTGTACACTGATAATAAAAATAATAATAAGAAGCCCTTTCTAAAGGCTCTAAGACGCATAGGGAGCAATGGACAAATAGACAAAAACTATGGTCGGAGTTTGCTAGCGCCATCGAATTGGAGAGCCTTGGAAACGGTTAAAAGCCGATGGGTTGCGAGGTTGAAGTGGCAGCGAATAGGGTACATTACTTGCGGTAACTGCGCACCGGATAACGCAGTGCGGGTCAACCCACGACAAAATAGTCCGACTATATTATTATGTTAAAATTCGCGAATTCGCTAAATGCAGGAAAAGCTGGTCCACTTTTTTTTTTTATTGCCCTTGTAGGCAGACGAGCATACGGCTCACCTGATGGTGAGTGGTTACCGTCGCCCATGGACTTCAGCAATGTCAGGGGCAGAGCCAAGCCGCTGCCTACCGCTATCTTACTACTCTACTTATCTGTCAAACATTCGAGAAGGACCATAATATATTCAGCTTTTGTGCATTAAATATTTACGTTTCGGCATTTTGAACGATCTTGTGGTTCCTTAAACAAGAAAAGAAAAATATAGAGAAGAAAAAACGATATGAAACTGTATTTATTTAATAAAATAATATCACAGGAAAACTAAAATATAAAAGAGTTTTTTCAAGCAAGCAGACTAATTAATTAACATTCACAATTAAACGTAACACATGTAAAAAAAAAAAACCAAGTCAAATCGCAAGAAACTCCGTTGAGGTATATTGACACTGTTTTCACTCACACATAGGCATCTCTAGTATTTTCCCTTATATTACCAGTTTTGCGGTTGCCCACAGCGAGAGAGCCGCCCTCTGATCCTTTGAAATGACCGTGCACTGCGACTATAAAGCGAAAACATTAAATTCTGTTTAGGGACGATATTTGATGTGGGGAGATCATTTAGTTGATTTGTAGCGTGTCCAAAGTCCAATAGATTTTAATGTAGATCGTTTGAATTGTCGTTGTGTTGCGAATTCATGAATCGCCTGTAACAGTAGTTATGGGTTCCATTTAGTAGTACAAAAACGTGGTGAAATCGATGAGTGAGACTAATTTGAATTTTTTTCTGTATTTTTTTTTAATGTATTGTTGAAGCGAAACTTCTTTAGAATCGTTGGGTGTAATTTCAAACTCGATGAAACGAAAAAATGAAACGTGAAGTTAAAATATCAATTCACAGAGGGCGGTACCTCATACTATAAAAGATGATTTACAATTATTTCTATTTAGTTTGTTATCAACAGATGTCGCTGCACGTAAATTCAACAATTCCTGAATCGCGATGACGAGATGTTACACAGCTGTGTGCCCACGTTACGACGTCCAGTACGAACTCTCCACTCCAGTATTTTTGTGCTCCACCGATTGTAAGTGCGACGGCATATGTGGCCGGCCTACATATGGATAGAATTGATAGAGTTACCCATCGCAATGGCGCCGGATAGGACATACTCTGCGGCGTAGTGGAGTCAGCTCAGCATCGATCGCGTTTGAGTGGCAACCTCGTGATAGGAGAAGATCTGGTCGCTCTATACGCACTTAGCGATGTACCGTGGAGAATGAGAGGAGGACTGCAGCCTGACGTGGAGCGATGTTAAGGAGCAAGTGCAAGACAGGGTGTAGTGGAGACAACTTGTGAGGGGCCCTATGTACCAGCGAGGTACCCTAGGACTACTACCATAGATAGAATGAGCTCCCAGTCCAAGTGGTTAGAAGGTGTGACCGAAAATCGCAGTGATGAAGCCTTGAATTCTGAGATACGATGTCTAAGTCACATTTGTATAGTAAACGTCTCAACCTTTCAAATCTGCATGCGTGACTGATTCGTGATAGAAACAGAGTGGTTCCACTTACACGTGCAGGCTTACTAGTCGCCATGCAACCGGTGAGAATTCATAAATCAATTTAAAATATCACAATTACCTATTGGTCAATGACCTTCTCGACGGAAACTACTTATTTATTTATTTTTTGCATTCAAAGAATTTCAAATATTAATAATGTTTTTCTAAAGACGACGAACTATCAAATTACTTAGTAGATTTTAATTATGCCTTGTAACATTCCATCTCTTTATTATACTCCATTAGGGCGGTGCACACGGTTGTCCGGGTAATAACACGTTCATAATGAGACCTCAGCCTAATTAGTGACTTGGCGCTTTGTGGGTTTTTCACGTGAATTACAGTAATTCAGTTAAAATGTTGTAATTTTGCGAAATACGAGTCGCAGAGCGTGCCACTGTAATTTCTGTGAGAGACGTCTGATTAATTTGACGGTATTTCGTGACGTGTCTTGTTAAAATAAGCTGGAACCTAGAGGTATGTATAAATAAAGACAAGGGCATTAGAAGGTCACAAGTTGTTCACCTCCCAATATCGTAATCAGTTGTCGGTAGGCAACGGCTTGGCTCTGCTCCAGGCATTGCTGAAGTCCATGGGCGACAGTAACCACTCACCATCAGGTGGGCTGTATACCGGTCTGCCTACGAGGGCAATTATAAATAATAAAAAATAAAAATAAAAAAGACAACGAATGTTTGTCCGATGTGGGAATTGAACTCACAACCCTTGGCGCAACAGTCAAGCGCGCTAACTTCTGCACCACCGAGTCAGTCCTCGAGCAAATAGAGCCAATATTAATTTAGGTATATAAATTGCTACGTTATTGAAGTGAAACTTCTTTAGAATCGTTGGGTGTGATTTCAAATTCGATGAAACGAAAAAAGTGAAACGCGAAGTTAAAATATCAATTCACAGAGGGCGCTACCTCATACTATAAAAGATGATTTACAATTATTTCTATTTAGTTTGTCATCAACAGATGTCGCTGCACGTAAATTCAATTCCTGAAACGCGATGACGAGATGTTACACAGTTGATAGACGTTCTCGTATTTCTCTTGCTAAGTCATACTTACCTGGCGTAGAGACACCGTGATCATGCAGGCGGTTCCCCCGGGGTGAGGCTCCTCTATTGCACTTCGGAGTAGACTTGCGCAAAACATCACTTGCCAATGTAATGTGATATGAAATCACTTTTACAGACAGGTGATATTACTCGAAAACATTACACATCACTCTTAACATTACTCGGTGCGTTCAATAGATACTGTGACGACGAATATATTGTATCTATACACCCGAATCATTACTTAAGTGATGTGTTCATACACATCACTTAGGTAATGATTCGGGTGTGTCATTACAGTAGTGTATTACAATACAAAGTATGAACGTTGTAATACACTGTTATATTACTTGACAGAGATTGACTTACTTAATAATATAATAATTTTATTTTTTACTTAATATAATTTATTGCGGGATGAACGGATTTCATATGGCGACTTAGACTGCAAATTGAGCTCGACAATAATGTTAATATACGAGAGCAGTAGATGCATTGTTTCGGCGCGGTCTCCTCAAAATGCATCCAAAGAGAACTGTACTTTCATTTAGACGCCGTTCTTTCTTTCACTTATTAAACACGCATTAAAACAAATAATAAAACTATTTTCAAACAAGTGCTTAAGTAATTCAAACACAAAAATTAATATGAAATATTACTAAACAATTACGAGCGACTAGCGATTTTACAAAAGTTGCGAATTAAAAATTAAGTAACTACTTGCGGGGAACTACTGGCTGGCCGCATGAAAAATATAAACACAAATATATACCTATATTAAAATTCAGACGTACCATAGGTATAAAAATGTACCTAGCGGCCAGGGCATACGCTTCAAAATCACTAGGAATAATTCGGTGTCGCTTGCTCATTTATTTTGGTCGATCGGTCTGTCTCGCTCGCTCGGTTCCGTTCGTGTATTAAGCAACATTACATGACAAAGAAAGAAACATGTTGGGTGATAGTGTGATGATGTGATGTTTGTTTCCTTCGCGTAATGTGTGATGTTGCATTACATCGTAGAGTAATATTACCGGAGTAATATCACTCGCATTACTTACACATGTCTACTTCGGAGTGGTTGGTGGTTGGCCCTTGCGATTATTTATATTTTTTATAAGTTTTACTTCTACGATGTGTGACTTGCACACACACAAATTTTTACATCTTTAAAAGAAGCATCAGTCATCAATGAATCTTCTACGGGGCTTCGTCCCATCAAAATCCAATTTGAGATTCTAATACAAACGGGACGTTCCGGAGTTGACACGAGAATGAGACGCGACGTTTGAGAACTTTCGTCAGGCATGCTCGAATGCGTGAGCAAATGTGTTTATTATGTAGGGCTGTCAAAAGGTCCGTTAAAGTTTAAAACATTAAATAATGTTTTTTTACTTGTTAAAGATTAAAGACCTCATCGTTCATTTTTGCCTAATTGTAAGCCGCTGCCTATCGCTTCGCATCTTAAGACCTTTTTCGTTTCATCAAACCTGAAATCACAATAGTGCTTAAGGTATATATCACTTCAAAAAGGATTTCGTTTATCTATTATTTTTATTTTAACACTAACATTATTAAACGCCCTAAAGGTTTTCGTTGATGTATGTGTTGCCAACCGTAGTGTGACAGTTTGTTTCTTGAAGCAGTTAAGTATCCATTTAAAAAATCAAGCCTGAATCCACAATATCCGACTTCGTTACACATAAATGATAGTAACAACCTGTGTAGGCACTCAGTTCACTGAATTTTTTTTATCAAGCATTGTTGATTCAAAAAACTACTTATTCGACAACCCTAGAGCTTCAGGTATTAACGAGGTGTCACTCCAACGTTGAATAATTTACTCTCTTAATTAAATCAGTGTAATAGTGATATTTTATTGTCTACAAAAAAGAGTAAAAAAAACGCGTAATTGCTAGTGGTAGGGTATTGTGTGAGCTCGCGCGGGTGGGTGCCACCACCCTGCCTTTTTTTGTTTTTCTACCTAAGATGCCTATGGGGTTATGCCAGCATAACCGGGCGAGTAGGTGAGCTCACGGCGCTCTAACCTGAGGACGTTGCTAACACTAGAACCCCTGTTCATTTTTACCATGAAGCAATAATGCGTTTCTGCTTGAAGGATGGGGCAGCCGTTATACTGTAAAAACTGAGATTTAGAGCTCGTGTCTCAAGATGGGTGGCGGTATTGACGTAGTTAATATCTATGGCCTCCGGTGACCACTTAATACCAGGTGAGCAATAAGCTCGTTCATCCCTCTCAGTAGTATAGAAAAGAAAAATTAAAAATAATAAATATATATCTTGATTGAAAGGAAAAAAAGATTAAGAAAAATGGATGAATTTTTCATGATTCTGTATACGTAATAAATTTCACAGTGAATGTGTTAGAAAAATTACCAGAATCATCTTGAATAGATATATATTATGTTTTGTTAAGTGTATTATTATGTTGTGTTATTAGATAGATACTAGATATAGTTATATACATACATTATAATATAATATTAATATATAATATCTACTATATTTATATATCTAATTCATAAATATTAAAAACGAATACATACGCACACTTAATAAATATGAAATAGACCTAATAAAATTATATTTGAAATTTAGATAAGATAAGATCTACCTATGTATCATAATTGGTTTTATTTAATAGAGTTTTAGTTTTGTTTTTTCTTCTTCTTAGTCGTGTCACTCTTGACAGAGTGGTCGTGATCGTCATGTAGTGTTGGAAGGGGCAGACTTGATGCGTCTCACGATGTCGCGCCATCTCTCCCTGCTCGAGGCCATTCTACTGCACTCATTTAGGGGACCTCCCACTGCAGTTTTTATTTGGTCGGTCCATCGCATTGGTTTTGTTTATATAGTTTTGTTTATATAGGTTTATATAGGTTATTTATTACTTTTATTGTAATTTATTTGTAAATTTATTTATACATATAATGCATCTACTATACATTTATCTGCATCTCCTTTGGTTGCCTGATATACATAGAATGCCTCAGACATTGAATTCGCTGTTGTATATAGTTTCATATAATTCGTGTTTATAGAAAAATATATGTAAGAAATATAATATGAATTAGATGAAATTTTCATTTTAAGTGAACTTGGAAACACGCAAAAATTCTTGCAAAAATATTTTTGAAACATTTCGTAACAGATAAGATTATGTGAGATTTAAAAAAAGCCGTAGCTTCGTGTAATTCGTGTCGCGCCTCACTGTTGACAGTAAAACGAAAATAAAACGGAGATGACGAAAATTCATCTGTATAAAGTTCGAAACACAGTCAAAGCGTAGCGAGAGCGATTTTAAACTAGACATAATTGACGTTTTTATTTCCTTATTCACGCACCAACTAACAGTATTAAACTTGTTTCGTATTATGCATGTTTCCGTTTGGGAAATTTCGATTTAATTTCCCAAAATGAGCAGTTTGAATTTGGATTTCTCATAAAAAAGTGGTAAGTTTTTGTTTATTTATTTATTTATTTATTTATTTATTTATTTAATAAGTTGCACCAACAAAGTGATCATCAATACAAAACATTGACAGATTGACAAAAGTTCATGGCCGATGTCACCTCAATTATAGGTGCAATCGACATTGCATTAACATCAAAAATAAAAATAAATTGTTTTACACTAATGCGTTCAATTTTCAATGGGTTTCCACTTAACGCTGCTAGAATATAAGTTAATTTTCAAACGGGTAAGTTGAAAGCCCGCATGAATTACTGGCACAATTCTACTGATTTCTCCCAATACATTCCTGTTAAATAACATTACTGCTGTTTCAATGATTATCATTTGCACCAGGTGTGTTGCGTGGATATCTATCTACTCATGTATGTTTGGAAATTGAAAGAAATTTAAATCTTAATATTTTTTTTATTTAATTTGCGTCATGTCTTATGCTGAGCGGTTTTTTTATTTCTTTGGAGCTTGTAGATATCAGCAGACAAAGCAAGCAAGTATTCTGGGGGAGATAAAGGCACGGAGGCTCAGTTGGTTTGGGCAAGTCGCGCGGATAGAGCAAGATCGGGCTGTGAAATGGGTGTACCGGAGGGACGCTGACCCCTAGGAAGGACAAAGTACCACTGGTCTGACGCTGTGAAAGGGAAGCTGGTGGAAATTGTTGGTGGTGGATGAATGGTGGCATTTAGTGTCTGAGGCCAAGACCCAATTCGGTATCATAGCCCCAGCGCGGTCGGAGTAGTTCACTACATCTGCATAATGTGTTTCGGTATCAAGTTTACTCTAACAGAATGATAAATGAAAATTACATATTTAGTGAAATGGAAGTATAATTAATAGCTTTTAAAATATATCTTTAGCTGGTTGAATTCCTAACAGGTTCGTTGTATGAAACGGTTTATCTGCGACATATTTTATGTAATTTAAAAATAAAATAATGTTAAGTACAAACCTAGGAAAGTTTTCATGAATCATTCGCGTTTAGAACGTTTTGTAGGTTTTAAGTCGTGTGTGATTGTCTGACGTAATATCTTATTTGGAAGTGCTGACATAATTTAAAAACATGGTTCTTCGTCTTGGTCTTTTAATTGCTGAGGAAGTGAACTTGACCTTCGATTCTCCTGACAAGTTTAAGTACTTCTTATATCAGGCGCTGTTGCAGTCACCACCGGGTATCATATTTGTAGGAATAAATACTGTCCATTCAGAAGCACTACACACAGCCATCCGGATTGATAGAGGATAAGTGAAGCCGTCACCGAAAGGCCGATCTATTGATTCCTATTGAAGCTTGTCTCATTTTCCTAGAACTGCGTGTTGCAAGAAGACGAATATTGAATCGATTATATGTTGTCCACCACTCTATATTCGGCTTAATATAGGAAAATTATCTCGAAATCGATATTCAACTATTGGGATAAAAATTAGGATGCAAACATTAAAAAATCATCGTTGTGTCATTGTGAATCTGGTACCGTTTCTTTGTTGTCCTTAAAGATCAAAGTGTAAGCCTTTGAAATACGAGCAAAATCTAAATCACTAGCCAATCACAAGTCTTGCTGCACTATACGTCACTGTGACGTCACTCCAGATCTGGCGTCCCAGAAATTTTCCAATAAAACAAAAAAAACAAATTCTAATCACACATCACCAAGCGTCAGATAGTTTTTCCGCAAC